TGTGTGTGTGTGTGTGTGTGTGTGTGTGTGTGTTTAGAAGGAATCCTGATTCTTTTGGTGCCCAAACTCCTCATTTTTCATAATATATTTATGCTGTCACATGCTTGTATGAAATCAGTTGACAAGTACTCATTGAGCATATTATATATGCAGGGCATTGCAGTACTAGCTGCTGTGAAGATACATAGAACTAACCCTTTCAGAAAATGTGAATCATCAGTGCAAAACCCCAGAGGTAGACATGACAGCCCTGAGTATTTCCAGTGATATTACTTTTCTAACTCTAAGTCTCAGCTTTCCCACAAAAACAAATAGAAAGAAATGCCCTGGAGCTATTTTTTGGTGGCAAGAAGCTGGAGTGGGGATAGAGGTCTAATAAAAAGATCTCAGTCCTGTAGCTCCCATTGTGCCTTGCACATAGCAGGTCTTCAATAAGCAAGTAGTTGCCTATTAATTCTTGCAGGGACCCACAATCAGTAGACGTGGGGACGGAGTACCATATGTTCCTCCTCCCCTGGTAGCCTCTCCAGATCACTAAGTGGTCATCCGACACTTTACATTCATTCATTCATCCACAGTTGTAAGTCAGATATTATTCAAAATCTGTTCTGTATCAGATACTGGACTAGGCTGGAATTTCAGTGAAGGAAGATGATCTCACTCTCACAGAGTTTACAGTTCAGTAAGGGTGATATGATTTGTAAATAAATATCAATAATACAGACCCATAGGAGAGGTCCAGATAAAGTGCTGCCATATCACAGGGAAGAGAAAGTACTCTAAGCTGGGAAGGGTGGGAGGCAGGGAAAGAGCAAAAGGGGTGGGGGCTGCCTCTTCTGATCAATTTATACAACTTTCGCAAACCCAGGTAAGCACATGCTAGAAGTTTATGCAATGCAAAAAAAAAAAAAAAAGGTGTTATTTAAAAATCAATAATGGCCACTACAAGGGCAGGGATGGTTGTAATGTCATAATTAATATCAGCAGGGAAATAAATCTTGATACTATTCCCTACTACTTACGAAGAATGATGTGAAACAGAGAGGGAAAGACTGAAATGTCCAAACCTTTACTAAATCTTCTGTCCTGGAAAGAATATTCCAGGTAGAGGCAAGTGTTTGCAAGGGTACAGAGGTAAGAAGGTAGAGAGTGAATGTTCCAAGTGGGAGAAGAGATGGCTGCTTTGTTGGAAAAGACTGTAAAGCATCTTTGAAGAGGCAAAAGAAGCCAGTTGGACAGGTTTCCTAGAGTGAAATTGTTCTACGTAATATAAGGAAGGAAACTGGATGTTTGCAGTGAGATTCAGGGAAAAGAGTTCAAACGGCATGCTAATGTAAATCCTGTATCTTAGTCAAGTGTGCTCCCTCCACAAACAACTCATGTTAGCAATGCTGGGGAAGAAATCAAGAAGTGTCTGAAAGGGGGCAGCACTTCTGAGATGCCAAAGCAACTCAGAAACCCTTGTAATTCTGTGGAGGTAGGAGCTCAGTCCCCCAGCGGGGACTAAGAAAACTGAAACCACCCATAACCCCAAGAGAGATTGGAAGAGAGAAGCTGCACCACAAGTGGGAGGAGGTTAGAGGCAATTTCATTGACTCTCAAGAGGCAAAATATCCGGGTAACATGTGGGAAAGCACCTTACAGGATTTGACATTAGTCCTCAGAATTCATCCAGAGGCTTTTATTGACCCACACCATGACTCCTCTAATTCCACGTCGACGCCTGGTTTGGCTCCCTACCTCGTTCCCTTTGTTCACCCAGTCCTCCATTCACTCATTTTTCTCTTCCACCAACAACAGCTGTGCAGCTGCCACAGGCTGGGTCTCTGTACCAGGTGGGCTCTGAGGGATAGAGTGATAAACAAGAGTGATGAGTACTTTCCCACATGGAAATGGAGTCAACCATTTGGAATGACTCCAGAGGACAAATTTTGTCTCCCTCCCCTGAACCCAGGCATTCTAACCAAGGGGGAGGGGCTTGTTCTCTGCTTCCTTGCATCAGGCCCCGTGGGACCTCCAGCTTGGCTTGCTCTTCATCCAGCTTCCATCATCGGGGGGTGGGGTAGAGATTAGATGGGGTTCCTGGAGGCGGTAGCATTGATCCTTGATGAGTTGGGAAGAGTTATGGAGTTGTCAAAACTGGAGGGAGCTACAAAAGATATTACAGCAAAGGAAGGAACCTGTGAGTAGACCCAGAGGAAGGAATAAATAGGGCGTGTGGGGTAACAACAACTTTCACAGTGATGAATCCACCTCATCATTGACCATTTAAATGAGGCCCCACTACCACCCAGGAAATTATGAAAAACATAAAACCATGAGTGTCCATATCCTGTTTGTATCCCCTTTGCATTCAGTCTCCCCCTACGTACCTGCCTCTTCTTAAGGAGAGCACCCACAGCTGTCTGCCTCAAGACACTCCTCACCCCTGTGTGGCAACCATGGGGCATATTTTACACAATCCCTTAAAGGGCCCTGGTGGGACTGAGCATTGATTATCCACAGTAGTAACCTGCTCATCCGTGTACCCTGTAGTAGCTGCCGTCCCTTCATTTTCTCCCTTCACTTGTTCCCCCACCAGTGCTTCCTGGGATCATCTTCCAAATAAATCACTTGACCTCAAATTCCTCTCTCAATATCTGCTTCTGTGGGAACTCAATATTTGCCCAGATCTACCTTTTCAGTAATTTTTCAATGCTGTCTTTTGTTCTCTTCCCACAGACCCTCTTATCTCTTACTTGGTACCTGGGCTTTCAGTGTCAACATCTTCGTTCCCTACACCATATGGAACCCTCACTCTCAGACGGAGCCCTGGTTACCTTGAAACTGGTAGTGTGCTAGTAAATGTTTAATAACCAGCTCTTTAAAAAAAAGAAAAAAAAAAAGCTCTGATCTGTGGCATTGACCAATTTGTGTGGTGTATATGCTCCCACCATGGCCAGATTCAGGCTACCAAAGTGACATCACCGAACACGGAGTTGGGAAGAGAGGTGTAAAATTGGCTCCTGCAGGCCATTGTGAGCACACCACCGCCTGTGACTCCCACCCAGAAAGGAGAATCCTCTCTCAGTTTGAAAAGGGATATTGGAGCCAGATTGTTGAGGGCCTTGAAAGCCAAATTATGGGGTTAAGAATTTAATCTGTAGTCAAAAGAAGATTACTAAAGTTTTAGAGCTGGGGCAGACAGGTGGACATATGTTATTATCTGCATTGTATTTTGAAAATATCAATCCAGCAGCATTGTGTAAGAAGTACAGTGGACAGAAAATTGAGGCAAAGAGACAAAGGTTATTGTGTTATAACTAGGACATGAGTACATACTGAGGATGTGGAAATAGAAAACAGGATGGATGCCAGAGAGATTTAGCGATTAGATTCCACCTATCAGAACAGTTGATAGGATGTTGACAGAAGGAAGATGATAAAGTTAATGAGACTCCAGAATTTCAAGTTTATCCTGTCACTTGACATTTGAATCTAAAATTCCAAATGGCCAAATGTTCCATTGGGGATATAAAGAATGTTAGTTTCTTGACATTTAAAGCTTAGAAGCATCATGTATGAATTTGCAATATTCCTTTGAAATTGCTTACTGTTTCCCTAGTGAAGTCCAGGCATTGAAGGGGGAATCAATGTGATGTAAAGAACTGTGGGAAGGATGCTTGAAGATCAAATGTGACCTCTGGCTGGGTTGCTAACAGATAGTGAATTTGGCCAAATCACTTGGTTCCCTTAAGACCCTCAGAGTCCTCACCTGTCTAAATAAAGGTTTTACAAAATGAGCTATTACACTACTTCGGAAGGTTTAACATGCTAACCAAACATGAGGTAGTGTCTAAGAGCCTTGGCATAGCTATTGCCAAAGATCTATTGCAAATTTCAGCTCTGTACAAATAAGACATATGGCTGTTACTGCAGTGAGAAGCTCTGTTTATTTCAGTGTTACTAATGACATAAATACTTTTTATAGCTGGTTGTCTGAAATCTTTAGGATCCTAAGAAACATAAAGCTTTTGCATGCAGTATACACTTTAGTTACCAGCTCTATGGGATTGTTGCTGGCTCTCTATCTTACACTAGATAAGAACAAAAAAATCATGTATCCCTATCTGAGACCAGAAGCCATCCCGTGACCATGAGGAGAAACAACACCAGAGGCCATCCTGTGACCGTGAGGAGAAGCAGCCTTAGAATGAAGTTGTGGTTGGCCAGAATGCAAGAAGGAAGGAATCTTGGTCATTTATGACATCGTTGAGTTGCAAAATCAACCATCCTCATGACCCTCCCTACCACTAGACACCTTGTTATATAAAACAATACATGTCCTTTTTGTTTAAGTCACTTTGGATTGAGGTTTTTGTCACTTACAACCAAATACATGCTAACTAATACACAATTTGGCTTAGGTTTTTGAAGGTTTATTTCTCATATAACAACAGGAAAACAATAATGTCCTTCAAAGATGTGGGCTTTAGTTCAGAACCTATCATTTATTTATTGAATGACCTTGGGCAAGTCAGTTTCCTATCTGCAAACAAAAACAATACTCTTTTTCTCTTCTTTTTTTGAAAACGATTTATTTATTTATTTGAGAGAGAGAGAGCATGAGAGAGCATGAGCGGGAAGGGCAGAGGGAGACAGAATCTCAAGCAGACTCCCCTCTGAGCAGAGAGCCCCATGTAGGGCTCAATCTCATGACCCTGAGATCACAAACTGAGCAGAAACCAAGAGTCTGACGCTTAACCAAC